TTTATCATCGATTTGTTCAGAGGCAATAAAAACGAATCACTTTATCGATAACTGGTACATTATCGATATCGTATTATAAATTAAAAAAAATAACCGAATATACTTTTTAAAATCGTTTATTCCTTAACCCCTTTCATTGTAAATTTAGACTTTTTTTTTTTACTATTCCCAATTTAAACTCCTTTCGGGCCACAAATGCAAACCTCCTCGTGGTGTGGCCTGGATATTGAACGACTGTTCAATGACTAACTTGCATTATTGTGCTAATAAGTAGTTTTGTTTTTTTGTATTATTATTATTATTTTACTAACTAATTTGTTATTTTATTTTAATAGTGAAATATGTCGTGTTTTTTAGTCGTTATCGTTTGTTGACGGTGCTGATATGGTCGTATCACTTGTTGGAGTTATGTTTATATCGCTATTTCTGAATTTGTCATTTGTTGGAGTCGTCCTTTACTAAAATTGTTGTGGTTGACAATATCTTCGTCTCGTTGGTTTTATCATTCGTTCTGCTTGGAGACACAGTTATACATGTTACAGGTTCAATTTTGGATGCAACGATCGGGTTTTTTGGTCGCAATCGTCAATTATAATATGTTGGATCATGTTTTTCGCTAGCTTTTTGACTAAAAACGAGTAGTTTTTTGCTGAAAAATAGGGATTGCTGTGTAACGATTCTTTGAGTCGTTTGTTACACAATAGCATTAGAATTAGTGTAAATTTTAATTTAATGTTAGGGTTAGTGTTAGAATAAGAGATCAGAAAGATTCAGTACTGTTTTAATGTTTTAAATAATAATAAAATTATTATTTTACAATTAATAATAAAAAGATCTATCCGAATTAAGATTATAAAATTTTTATCAATACTGCAATACAATACGTAATAAAATTATTTATTACTATATTTATTGAATGTTTTATTAGCAAATTTAGTCATTAAGACATAGTTACAATTTTATCTGGTTCTCTAGTATGCATTACGTATGACAGTCATTCCCGCCGGATAGATTAGTGGAACAACCAAAATTCAGCAGATCGACCAAAATTTAGAGTCGGAATAGGCTCGGAGCTAGGCCGGCATTAAGCGATAATACAACTATACTACAACAAAATCATCATCTGGGCAGCTTTACTTAGTACGTAGGCTACCATTTCATTAGTAAAATTTGGGAGAAATTTATCAATTCTGGCATATTCCGACCCTGAATTTTGGTTGCTCCACTAATCTATCCTCATCGGCTAACATGACGTAGATAGTGACGTATTTTGTATTTAGTATGTATTTGTATTTAGTATGTATTGACGTCATGTTTAAATTTATATGACGTAAAGGTGATGTGAAAAGGTAGCTACCTTTGACCTGTGTTTAAAATTAATGTTTTCAAAAGAACTTAATTTAAATTTTTAATGTTCTCAAAAATTTTTAATGTCACTATAGTGCTTCTAAAGGGTTGTGATTATTCTGATAATCCAAATAAAACCAACCCCGAGACCGCAACTATAGCGATAGTGATGTCCTTTACCATTTCATGTAACCCGAGCTTCCAGGCTTAATTAATTATGCCCGAAAATCCGAAAATCACAAATTTTGCGAATTTTACCAATAAACCCACTAACCGATGTACTAAGTAAAGTTGCTCGGATCATAATTTTGCTATAATATTAGTTATCGTGTATTAGGCTTGTATTAGTGCTTCGCAGGTCTGATCCGAGGTCCGAATCTGAATCGTCAGATCGAATTCCAGAAGCTCGGGTTACATGAAATGGTAAAATTTTTGGACATCACTTACCTACTAGCAATATCGCACGCTCTAAATAAGAGATTTGTACAATCCGTTGGTCAAGAATCGAATGCATTTATATTATTCGATTCTTCTTGACGAGTCTCTAGTGTTTCATATCGGTCAAAATTTTAGTTGCAAATAATTGTCACATGTTAATAAATGTCGGGGATGATGCTGAAATTTGATCTTAATTTGAAAATATAAACCTTACTAAAATCCACCTATACTTTTTATTATAAACACTAACCCTAAATTCTAATCGAACTATAAAAGAAAGCTGAACAAAACCCCCCAAAAAATTTTTAAATTTTCATAGTCAAAATTTCAGCATCATCCCCGACAATAAATAATAAAAAATTACGTTTTTTTGTATCAATTTGATTGGCCAAGAAATTTAACATTAGACAATCAATCAACGACTACGTAGTTGGTTTTTCGACTAAGACGGATCGAAGGTATAAGAATCATTAGATTCCAGTTGATAAACCCAGTTTTAACTTCAATTATATGTTATCCGCCACATTACCCACCCGCATCTCTACCTTATGATGCGAATTGTTTGATACGAAATTGCTGAAAAAAATTGAATTATAGTCTCTCGTTAGTTCCTATTAATGCAAGATTTTAAAGTGCCCGATTTATTAAAAATTTTAAACTGTGTAATTTCTTTAAGTTATACTATGCCAATAGATTTCCGGAAAAAATAGTTTGTACTCAAGTGGCGTACTTTCGTTATCACATGATTTTTATTAGTATATGAAATGGGGAATGGGAAGAGCACGTGAAGTTTTAATCATTAATCGTCTTCACCATAGTTCCCAGTGGTTAGTTATCTTCGTTGGACTATGGGTAATAATATATCAAGTACAACTGCTTCGATAGCAACTGCTGGCATTGATAGTTATGTTAGTGAACTTGGAGATATAGAATATGAAAGAAGGTAAGTTTATTTAATAATTTTTGTTAAACTCCACTGAACATTACAAATTTTTTTACTCCTCTTTTTTTTTTTCCTACAGCTTAAGTAGCGCACGCTTTATGAAAACAATATGTGGGCGCCATAAAGAAGGACTTGTTGTTATAAAAATTTTTATAAAGCCAGAGCCTGGTCTATCTTTGGTGAATGTGGTTAAATCGCTTCAAGGTAAGGTAAATTTATCTTGGAAATCCGGAGTAAAATCCATAATACGATCTATATTTATGAGATCTCTTTTATTTTGTTTAGATGAAAAAGATGCACTGTCTGAAGTTCCTAATGCTTTTCCATACCAAAGAATAATTGAAACAGAAAAGGCTGGATATTTAATAAGACAGTATTTTTTTAGCAGTCTCTATGACCGTATCAGGTTAGATATTTTTTAACACTATAATTCGTTCATAAATATGTTTATAATATTCATTTTTTTTTAGTACACGGCCATTTTTGAATTGCATCGAAAAAAAATGGATTACGTATCAAATTTTGTGCGGAGTACATGATGCTCATACTCGAGGGGTTTGTTCTTATATCATTGAGATGTTCGTTGCTTTACAAATCAATTTATTTATAATTTGTATTCACAGATTTACCATGGAGATATCAAAACAGAAAATATTCTTGTCACATCATGGAACTGGGTATATTTGGCTGATTTCGCAGGATATAAACCGACTTATCTTCCGGAGGTATGCTATAAATATTGATCTTTATTGATAAATTTGTCGAATGACTCTCATTATTATTATTACTATTATTATTTTAATCCAAATTGATTTAGGATAATCCTGCCGATTTTTCATTCTTTTTTGATACATCTTCACGAAGAACTTGTTATCTTGCTCCGGAAAGATTTTATAAACCCGGTAGTGAAATTGACAGAAGAAAGGTTTTATGTCTTTTATGTAAAGTTTTCAATTCAATAATTAGCAAATACAAAATTTAATTTTAATATGTCCTTATTCGCAGAGTGAACTTGAATTTGGAGAAAAAGACGGTGCAATTACACCTGCTATGGATATATTTTCTTTAGGGTGCGCCATGTCATAATTTTATTTTTTTTATTTCTTTGCATTACAACTTTTATGTGCTAATTTCTTCCTATGATTTGCCTTGAATGCACAATTGACATTTAGCTGTGTGATTGCTGAACTTTTCTTAGAGGGCACACCGATATTTTCTTTAGCTCAACTATTCGAATACAGAGCTGGAGAATATGATCCAGGAGTTTATCTGGAAAAAATTGAGGATGCAGAAATAAGGGTACACAAAATTTTATGAAAATGATATTTTTCGCACATGCTAGATATGAGGTTTAATTATAATATCGTTTTTAGGCTATGGTGAGGCACATGATTCATGTAGAACCTTCGCAACGATATACTGCAGAACAGTACTTACATGAATGGTATTTAATTTATTAATTTATTTTATCTGACCGTGACTATGATTGAATTTATTTTCCTTAATGTAGATATTTATTCATGTTAAGGCGTGGCACAGCATTTCCACAATACTTTTACACATTCCTTCATCAATATATTGGCTCGGTGACCGACCCTCATAACCAGGCTCATCCAAGAACATTGGCTACTAATGGCACCAGTAAAGCTGATGAACCTCAAGACTCCAATATTACAACGAGTACTGTTATAAATACGGACGCAGATGATAAAATAGAAAGAATTTACTATGAATTTGATAAAATAGCGTTTTTCCTTGGATTTTACAATGAGAATGTGCAAGATACTGAGGTGGTTGTTAATAATAGCCACTCAGATAAAGTTGGTGAAAGTTCCCGTCCTATAGAAGGTGCGCTTTACTAAGTTTGTTTACAGCTCTTGTCAATGATATTCACTCTAAATAATGCCTATTGTTTTCTGTCTTTTTTTATTAAAGTATCATCACCAAATGCGACAGTATGTATCGATTTCTGTTAGTAGTATAAATTAGTGTTGATCGTTTTGTGAAACTAATAAGAAATATATATATTAAAATGTTAGCCAGCGTTAACAGTTAATCTTCATATACCGAATTATGATTATTTTTCATTTAAAAATAAAAAACGAAGGAAAGATGCAGGTACATATTTTATTAGCAAATATTTCTGACATAAATTAAAAAATGATAGACTAACAATCATCTTATGTTAAGATGATGGTGCATTAATATTTCTATCTTTAATATGCGCTACCATCCGGAATGCTGCGTATCCTTCATCAAAACTTCATGCGTTGGATATGTTGCTTGCAATTGGGCAGCATTTGGAAGATGAATTTAAATTGGATCGTTTAGTCCCTTATTTAATCGCACTTTTAGGTGATGAAATTGGTCTTGTTAGAGCTAATGCTGTCAAGACGTTGGCACACTTGGTTTGTGAAATTTTAAATTCTTCAATTTGTGCAAATTGCAGATTTTTATTATTTCAAACTTCTATAGATTTCTGCGGTTGATACTATTACTCCTTCAAACGCAACTATTTTCCCAGAGTATATAATGCCTAATCTTCGCAAATTTGCTACTGATCCTGAAATCCTTGTAAGGATGACATACGCCCAATGTATTTCAACTTTTGCAGAGACAGCATTACGATTTCTTGAATTGACACAAGCAAGTATTTGTAATTTTTATCCATTTTCTATGAATAGCAAAAGCATTGAAATAATTTCATTTTTATCATGATCAGCAATTTAAGGCAGAAGACTATTTAAATGTTGCTGATAATGATGCTGAGATTGAAAGATCATATGAGGTACAAAATTTTTATGAAACTGTAACTTTTAATGATTTGAGATTGCTAATACAATTTCCTTTAAGGCGACTTACGATGCTACTTTACATGACCTTCAATCAATTATACAAGAGCAAGTGACCACTCTTTTAATTGACACCGAAAGTGCGGTTAAACGTGCTTTACTGTCAAATATTACTAGCCTTTGTATTTTCTTTGGTCGACAAAAAGCCAATGATGTGTTACTGAGCCATATGATAACATACTTGAATGATCGTGATTCGATGTTAAGAAGGTTCGTATAAATATAAATATATATATGGGATATGCATCAATATACTTAGTGGAATATATCGATAAATATACCTTTATATGCAGTGCGTTTTTTGAAAGCATAATCGGTGTTGGTACTTTTGTTGGACGTCAAAGTTTGGAAGAATATATTCTACCTTTGATGATTCAATCTCTCTCTGGTAAAATATTACATTATTACTGTTAGTATTCATTGGTTATCTATACAGTTAACTAAACTTTCGAAATTATTGAAAATCAGATGCAGAAGAATTTGTTGTAGAAAAAGTTCTTAATTCACTCACAAGCTTAGCAGAATTAGGATTATTTCAAAAAATGAAGTTGTGGGAATTAATTGCCATTGTATTGCCACTAATGTGCCATCCTGGCATTTACATTCGTTATGGTAAATATGATTATATCTTGTAGTTTTAATTTCGGATTATATAATAGCAATATGTGGGCGCCATAAAGAAGGACTTGTTGTTATAAAAATTTTTATAAAGCCAGAGCCTGGTCTATCTTTGGTGAATGTGGTTAAATCGCTTCAAGGTAAGGTAAATTTATCTTGGAAATCCGGAGTAAAATCCATAATACGATCTATATTTATGAGATCTCTTTTATTTTGTTTAGATGAAAAAGATGCACTGTCTGAAGTTCCTAATGCTTTTCCATACCAAAGAATAATTGAAACAGAAAAGGCTGGATATTTAATAAGACAGTATTTTTTTAGCAGTCTCTATGACCGTATCAGGTTAGATATTTTTTAACACTATAATTCGTTCATAAATATGTTTATAATATTCATTTTTTTTTAGTACACGGCCATTTTTGAATTGCATCGAAAAAAAATGGATTACGTATCAAATTTTGTGCGGAGTACATGATGCTCATACTCGAGGGGTTTGTTCTTATATCATTGAGATGTTCGTTGCTTTACAAATCAATTTATTTATAATTTGTATTCACAGATTTACCATGGAGATATCAAAACAGAAAATATTCTTGTCACATCATGGAACTGGGTATATTTGGCTGATTTCGCAGGATATAAACCGACTTATCTTCCGGAGGTATGCTATAAATATTGATCTTTATTGATAAATTTGTCGAATGACTCTCATTATTATTATTACTATTATTATTTTAATCCAAATTGATTTAGGATAATCCTGCCGATTTTTCATTCTTTTTTGATACATCTTCACGAAGAACTTGTTATCTTGCTCCGGAAAGATTTTATAAACCCGGTAGTGAAATTGACAGAAGAAAGGTTTTATGTCTTTTATGTAAAGTTTTCAATTCAATAATTAGCAAATACAAAATTTAATTTTAATATGTCCTTATTCGCAGAGTGAACTTGAATTTGGAGAAAAAGACGGTGCAATTACACCTGCTATGGATATATTTTCTTTAGGGTGCGCCATGTCATAATTTTATTTTTTTTATTTCTTTGCATTACAACTTTTATGTGCTAATTTCTTCCTATGATTTGCCTTGAATGCACAATTGACATTTAGCTGTGTGATTGCTGAACTTTTCTTAGAGGGCACACCGATATTTTCTTTAGCTCAACTATTCGAATACAGAGCTGGAGAATATGATCCAGGAGTTTATCTGGAAAAAATTGAGGATGCAGAAATAAGGGTACACAAAATTTTATGAAAATGATATTTTTCGCACATGCTAGATATGAGGTTTAATTATAATATCGTTTTTAGGCTATGGTGAGGCACATGATTCATGTAGAACCTTCGCAACGATATACTGCAGAACAGTACTTACATGAATGGTATTTAATTTATTAATTTATTTTATCTGACCGTGACTATGATTGAATTTATTTTCCTTAATGTAGATATTTATTCATGTTAAGGCGTGGCACAGCATTTCCACAATACTTTTACACATTCCTTCATCAATATATTGGCTCGGTGACCGACCCTCATAACCAGGCTCATCCAAGAACATTGGCTACTAATGGCACCAGTAAAGCTGATGAACCTCAAGACTCCAATATTACAACGAGTACTGTTATAAATACGGACGCAGATGATAAAATAGAAAGAATTTACTATGAATTTGATAAAATAGCGTTTTTCCTTGGATTTTACAATGAGAATGTGCAAGATACTGAGGTGGTTGTTAATAATAGCCACTCAGATAAAGTTGGTGAAAGTTCCCGTCCTATAGAAGGTGCGCTTTACTAAGTTTGTTTACAGCTCTTGTCAATGATATTCACTCTAAATAATGCCTATTGTTTTCTGTCTTTTTTTATTAAAGTATCATCACCAAATGCGACAGTATGTATCGATTTCTGTTAGTAGTATAAATTAGTGTTGATCGTTTTGTGAAACTAATAAGAAATATATATATTAAAATGTTAGCCAGCGTTAACAGTTAATCTTCATATACCGAATTATGATTATTTTTCATTTAAAAATAAAAAACGAAGGAAAGATGCAGGTACATATTTTATTAGCAAATATTTCTGACATAAATTAAAAAATGATAGACTAACAATCATCTTATGTTAAGATGATGGTGCATTAATATTTCTATCTTTAATATGCGCTACCATCCGGAATGCTGCGTATCCTTCATCAAAACTTCATGCGTTGGATATGTTGCTTGCAATTGGGCAGCATTTGGAAGATGAATTTAAATTGGATCGTTTAGTCCCTTATTTAATCGCACTTTTAGGTGATGAAATTGGTCTTGTTAGAGCTAATGCTGTCAAGACGTTGGCACACTTGGTTTGTGAAATTTTAAATTCTTCAATTTGTGCAAATTGCAGATTTTTATTATTTCAAACTTCTATAGATTTCTGCGGTTGATACTATTACTCCTTCAAACGCAACTATTTTCCCAGAGTATATAATGCCTAATCTTCGCAAATTTGCTACTGATCCTGAAATCCTTGTAAGGATGACATACGCCCAATGTATTTCAACTTTTGCAGAGACAGCATTACGATTTCTTGAATTGACACAAGCAAGTATTTGTAATTTTTATCCATTTTCTATGAATAGCAAAAGCATTGAAATAATTTCATTTTTATCATGATCAGCAATTTAAGGCAGAAGACTATTTAAATGTTGCTGATAATGATGCTGAGATTGAAAGATCATATGAGGTACAAAATTTTTATGAAACTGTAACTTTTAATGATTTGAGATTGCTAATACAATTTCCTTTAAGGCGACTTACGATGCTACTTTACATGACCTTCAATCAATTATACAAGAGCAAGTGACCACTCTTTTAATTGACACCGAAAGTGCGGTTAAACGTGCTTTACTGTCAAATATTACTAGCCTTTGTATTTTCTTTGGTCGACAAAAAGCCAATGATGTGTTACTGAGCCATATGATAACATACTTGAATGATCGTGATTCGATGTTAAGAAGGTTCGTATAAATATAAATATATATATGGGATATGCATCAATATACTTAGTGGAATATATCGATAAATATACCTTTATATGCAGTGCGTTTTTTGAAAGCATAATCGGTGTTGGTACTTTTGTTGGACGTCAAAGTTTGGAAGAATATATTCTACCTTTGATGATTCAATCTCTCTCTGGTAAAATATTACATTATTACTGTTAGTATTCATTGGTTATCTATACAGTTAACTAAACTTTCGAAATTATTGAAAATCAGATGCAGAAGAATTTGTTGTAGAAAAAGTTCTTAATTCACTCACAAGCTTAGCAGAATTAGGATTATTTCAAAAAATGAAGTTGTGGGAATTAATTGCCATTGTATTGCCACTAATGTGCCATCCTGGCATTTACATTCGTTATGGTAAATATGATTATATCTTGTAGTTTTAATTTCGGATTATATAATAGCAATATTGAATTGTTATTTATCTTCCTATTTTAGGAACGATTGCTTTTATTGCGTCGGCTGCCAGACTTTTGCCAACAACTGATGTTTGGTGTATCGCATATCCGATAATAAGACCATTTTTGCAGGCTGACATTGCTGAAGTTACAGAACTTCATATATTAGAGAATGTTAAAGAACCGGTATAATTTACTAAATGTTTATTTTAAATTTATATATTTTATAATGTCCAGTATTTAACATTTAATTACTAGATCCCACGTCCTGTGTTTGACAAGGCTGTCTCTTGGGCTGGAAAATCAAATAAATCTTCATTTTGGAAACAAGCTAAAGAACGCAAAGCGAATAAATCAGCATCAACAACAGTTTCGGGCAACTCTAGCGTCACTAGCTTATTGTCGCGACGGACCTCTGCACTCACAATTAATGCCGGGAAAATTCTCAAGTCGGAGGAGTATGTTATAATAATTATGTAAAAATTTCATCCGGGTTATTTGCCACTAAGTTATTATATTAAAAAAAAAAA